ATAGTAGCTGAGATCCGAGGGGGGACATACTTTTGTCAAGTAGTGTAGAATACACAAAAGAAATCAATGTTAATCTATCGTCTTATCAAATTGTTTTCTGAATCCTCGATCAGTATGTTTTTTCCATAGTTTAAATTTTGACACTTTACGTGAAATGCTTTCCTATACCTATGGTCCTTGTTCAGTTGTAAGATCAAATGGATCACCAACAATACGTTTCTTTGCTAATTCGACACTTTTAGACACAAAGGCATCGTGAAGTGTGGAATGAACACATATTCTTGATGCAGCAAAACACACTTGACCTGCATGAGTGAAAACTGCTCTATGAGCAGTTCGAACAGGAACATCGACTAAAACATGCAAAAACAAATTAATCCTATCGTTTATAAACCTTTTTCGTCATTAGGAAGTACAATGAAAGTGGAAGTAAAAGAATTATTTAATACATACGATCAGTATCTTCACAAATGATAAATGATGATTTACTACTTATATGTAATGAAAAAGGCAACAAAGCAGACAGGTAAGAAAGATGATTTTACTACCTACGTTCCAATGAAACACGCTTTAGATTAGTTTTTCCTGCAGTTTCTTGAATCTTTTTCCCAGCTTAAAACAAAATATCATGTGCTTTTGTTATTTTATCTTCCATCTGCACTAATCTTGCCTTGAGTGAACCTGTAAAAGCTATTTTATTAATCTTTTCATCCATGACCACAGTTAGGTCCATGACTTATATATGTATATCATTATAAGAGTTGTTTTTATTCTGGTGATGTGTGTTACCTGACACACTGTTAACAATACCTGGTGGAAAACCAGCCTAGAATATTGATTTAGTATTAGAATAAATTTCGATTGTTGATAGATGATGAATAATACTTCCTTGATGACAGAAGCACAATAGAGTGCAGTAAGTGATGTCTGTTTAGCTGGTTTGAGAATAACTACATTGCCTATTTGTTATTGCAATATATAAGAAAATGTAAATTAATAGAAGTAATGAAGTTACCAAAAACTAATGCTGATCCAAGTTTCAAGGCCAACATAACAGTCCAAAATACAATGACAACAATACTTTTGTATGATACATATGAAAGATAGAATATCGTACTGAATAATTACTGAAAGAAGAAAGTACAATTTGAATTTTCATTTATTGAATGTTTGAACTGACCATAAAATTATTTGTTCCTAGATCCCAACTAGTTCATGTCTAATATAGGTAATAAAAATGCCTGATTCTGATGGAAGTGTTTCACCAGTGATTTTATCAGCCTATCCAGCGTCTGTAACATGTGAATATCATCGATAATAAAAAAAAGAGAATGACAGAGAGGCTTACAATAATCAAGACAAACAGCTGCTCCAAGAATCTCGCAATAACTCTCTTGTAGCAGTTTTTCACTATTCAGTGTTTCTAATGTATGAATATTCATTTATGATGTGGATGCAAACAAACAGAGTGAACATTTTCACTGCTAAATAACCCACAACATGTAGAAGTAAATCAGCAAGTTTACAAATTAACTGAGCGCGTGCAGCAGGATCAGACTTACGCCATGGTGAATCATATTGGAAACCTTTTTCAGCAGCGTCAATTGTTTTATCAAGATCACTCTACAGTATTGGAAACAATAAAAATTACACGTAGAACGAAAATCATCATGTGTATATGTATATTGATACTTTTGTGCCTTCTTCTACTTGACAAATTTCTTCATCTGTACTTGGATTAATGATAGAGAACGGATTCATCTTTGTCTACATGATTGACATTGATTTATCATATAAGAAGAAAAGAAAGAATGGACACATATTAGCTCGTTCCTTTATCCACTTATATTCATTGCTGTACCAGTTGCAGATGATGTCTTCAACCTTAATGAATGATTCAACTTATGAAACCGATTTGCTTAAGAGAAAACAAAAATTTGATCAGGTAGCACACCTGAGTATTTTAACAAGTCTTCGTGTCAATGTGGTATTTTTTAAAACTTGTCTTATCGATTGGACTTTGCGACAAGCGAAGAACAATTTTTCTAATAATATATGTATTTGATATTGCACTTCACTATAGAACTATTTTACTAACAGGTGCAAATCAGATCGTTCTTAGTATATGCAAAACCATATTCTTTTGATGTGATTCTATTACTAAAGATCTTATCAGTTCGTTTAATGTGAAACACTCAATATATGAAGGAGGACTTCCAGAACGAAATTGCCACGATGGAAGGAAGGAATTTTTAGAATGGCGAAGATTTCAAATGAATAGAACTAATTTTCGTAATTGTACGCTGGATTTCGAAAGCGTTGTAAATAACAGGCTAAAGCATTCTCTTCACCGATATCATATATCTGTTTACGTGATTTCAGTTAACAAATTAACATTTTTTACAAGAATATTATTGTTACTGTTCAAAACTGATGCCACTTAGATGATAAAGAACAGGAACAATCAAAGAATTTATCATATATAAAAACTTCTTTAAACTCACTATATATATAATTAATAAGTAATGTTTTACGATAGCAGAAAAGAATCGATCGCACTTTTCCTTCTTCAATAATCAATTTGTTTCTTTGTATTGTATTTTGTTTAAAGTCTTTTAAACAATAAAATTTTAAATGTTATTAATTATGTATCTTAAATTGAAACTAGATTATGATCATTCATACGAGTTATTACCGTAATTACGAGTTGTTTCAACTGATTGCTCGTAGTATTCTATTCTTTGCACTTAAACATTTTATTTAAATTAGTTGTACGTATTAGTGAGACTTTCGCAATACATGGAAGAGTTTAGAGAGCAAACTACATAAATGTTAGAAAGTTAAACAAGCAAATCCAAATAGCTGTTCTTCATGAAAAATTTGTATTGTTTTTCCTCAAACAAGTTTAACAACAATTATTTTTACTTGATAGTATGGTTCGAGACCATATCGACCTAATTCTCTCTCCTGTCCTGATTGTTTAAAGCCACCAAATAGTGCTTGATTATATATAGTCTTATAAGTATTTATCCAAATAGAGCCAGGTGTATTTGATGAGCCAACGTAAGACCACGTCTCACTGAAAAACTAGAATAATCATCAATAACCATTTCTTTCAAATTTACTGTCTCCAGTTATCACTCCAGCACCAAGTCCAAAAGTCGTGTCGTTTGCTCGTTTGATAACTTCTTCATATGAATCATACTTTAAGACTGACATTACTGGATCAAATATCCAAACTTTTACATTATTATAGAATCTAATAAAAAAAAACAATGTTATACCTCTTCACGAGTAATTTGCATATCATCTTTTACATCACTAAAAATAGTTGTTTTGATAAAATAATCTTTATTATCAACTCGTTCACCACCACATTCTAATTTATCTCCAGACTTTTAACCTGATTTTATAAAATCTAAAATCTATTGAAATTGACTATCATTTATCTATCATACACAAGTAAAGAGAACTTTTCTTTAGATTAAAGAGGTTATTACTTGTGATCCTTGTACAGTATTAGAACCAAATTTGAGTATTTGAAAGTCTTATAGAATACTCATCCTCACCCTCAGATGATCAGAGGAGATTTTCCACCAATATGGGAAGAGAATAGCTCAGATGAAAATTATCCTGTATTTGTTACTGACCAAGTTCAAATGTAACACATTTAAGATTTGATTTAGTTGCTGCTTCTTGTATTTTCTTCCCAACCTTCAATCAAACATTTCACATTCATTTTTTTTTAGTTTTATTAGTGAATGTTTTTACTCCAACTGAACCAGTACAAGCTACTTATCAATATGTGCATGAACAGCAATTGCATAACCACATTCAGGCCCATCACCTAAATATTCTCATGAAATTATTATAACAAATATCCTTCACTTTACCTGGTATGATCTTGACAAGATCTGGTGGAAAGCCAGTCTAGATCATCATGACAACAACAAAGTATGATCGACATAATAATATCTTACCTCTTTGATAAGAGCAGCACAATAAAGTGCACTAAGTGGTGTTTGTTCAGTTGGTTTCAGTACAATCAACTGAGAAAAATATTTCATCTTTAGTCTGTTCTACTAGTTTACCATTGTTAAGTGTTTTCACTTTCTATATATTGACTTATGTTGAGAGAAAGAAAGAGGATCTAATTTATACCATGGTGATTCAATATCAAAAGCTGTTTGAGTGCCTTCAACTGCTTTATCAACATCAGCCTGAAAATCACAATAGATAATGAACCAATGAAGAACATATAGAAATTCATACTCTAGTGCCTTCTTCTACTTGACAGATTTCTTCTCCTGTACTTGGATTGATGATAGAAAATGTTTTTCCATTTGTTGCTTTATGCCATTCATTGTTGATAGAGAGTTGAGTATATTTAACTTCAACATTCGAAGCTATTCAATCAGCCGATGACATCTGAAAAATGAGAGAAAATACCTGAACAAAAAAAAGATGTTTTGGTCGGCAACAAGTATGATAATGATAGCGTCATCGTCATTTATCTAAGCTAACACACACTTATATATCCCACTCGCTCTCTTTTATACGTGCACAAACATATACCCACTTTTTGTTTGTTCTCTTATTTTCTTAGGGCGAAAGAGAACAAACGCTAGATAGAAGAAAAACTAGATCTTCTTCTTGCCCATATAAGAATTTAGGTTACATCAATGACAGAACACAAACAAAATATAATGTACAAAACCATGTTTTTGTCAACAAAGAAGACGAGCAGCACATAAACAGCCATGATTTTGAATAGAGAAAAAAATCTTAGAGAAACGCTGAAACTTCTCTGGTACTAAGTGGTCATTTCGTCACATGATGATTTTTCCAATCGGTCAGGACAAGATCCCATAGAGTTGATTAACATCAGTTCCCTCTCCGTTTCTTCCAGTGATTATCTGATCATTAGACCATTTGGTTACAAGATGTTTCTCAATATGAGAAACATACAACGATTTTTTATTTTCTATTGTCAGTCCAAAACATCAGATAGTTGTCGAGAAAATCCTAATCAATCTTTTATTTTTCGAAGTTGATTCAATGACTTTCCAAGGCTTATCTGATCAAGCACAAATTAAAATATTCATTGATATTTCTATTCGAATTTACTAGATAAAGATCCAATCTCCAATGACGAGTAATCTCCTATCTGAACTAAAGATAATTTTTTCTTTTTAGTTGATTTAATTTATAGTCTATCGAAATATGAAGAGTTCTTCTTAGAAAAGTAAAGTGTAGACTATCTGAATAGGATATTCAATGAACATAAATTACACATTGAAGAGCCAAATAGTTTTTCCATTCTTCTTAAAAAGAAGACTTTATTTCAGTTATTTCTTCAATGAATAAAAAAAATCAATCTGTTCTGTTTATTGTTTTGATATTAATCAAATCAAATGCAATAACATTTGCTGGAAAAAAACCTAGTACATATCGAAATAATTCAATCATCCAAGCAAAGTGAGAGAAAAAAAGATGTTTATATATGGGTGTCAAAAATGAGATTGCTAGAAGAAACGAATCTTTATTATGAATTCAATTCTATTATTTCAATGAAAAACATATCGAACTAACTAACAATTTGATTTATCATTTGTTTTTGATTGAAAATTTTCCTCGCTTTTATGTTTTCAGTACACGAAAGCAAAGAAATAGCGACATTCAAAGAGTTATTATTTTGCCATATGATAGACAAAGACAATGAATTTAGAATCGTTGACCGATGAATTAGTTTTGAAAATCTTCGAATATCTCAATGTTGTTAATCTTTCCCATGCATTTTAGTTGATATTGCAACACCATTGTTTGATATCACTAATGATATATTCATTATTTAATTTTCTACATCAATTTCGAAAGGCTTCTAGCAAATGCTTCGTGGTAGCCGATAAGAATTGTCTCAATGGTTATCAGTGTTACATTGTCAAGGTCGTTCATTGTAGACACATTTTCTTAATAGTCGGTATGAAGACGCACAAACTTTTCTGCTGTTATTTTTCCCACGATGGCTAACTGTCCAACGGTACAAAATAAGACAAATTCCTGATGGGAATTGACTTTTGCCATCGAGTAAAATGAAAATATTATTTCATGTTTAAAATGTAAAATATTGGACAAACAAAAAAATCATTATTGACTCAGACAAACTTATTGCGAAAGCGAAAATTTGTTAGTAATTGTTTTTTTTTGATAAATGATGTGCTTTTTCCTGAAACATATTTCAATCAAGCGAAATGAAAATAAGCTACTTCTTTCGAAATTTCTTACTTAAATCTTGTGATGGACTGTAACAAAAATAAGAAGTATTCCCTTTGGATATTTGAAATGATTCGATCATATTTCAGATTTTAATCTCGCACGAATTGTACTCAAAGATTTTTTTTTGTCCGATTCGTGCCATTTTCACATAAAACGGCAATTCAATTTTATTTATCTTTTCATTTTTTAGTTGTAAAAGTAAAAAGTTCACAAAAATGTTTATTTCTATCTCTTATTCTGCCGAAAAAGGTTAATTGTGCAGCAGAATATTACGATAGTTGAGTATTAGAAAAGTGCTCATGTGATTCTCACATAGTGCTAATATATGGTTAAATACACTTTTATCTCCTGTTCTCATGTGTGAAACTCTTTGGTTTCTATCAAAACTGATTTGAAAAATATTCATTCTTCGTCTAAGTTGAAACGAAAAATAATTTTGCTTTCCAAAAGCTAATTTTTCGGAGAAAGAACGATTAAAATCAATACATCTTATGAAGAAAAAATTTTGATTTTTGTATACATATTGAAATAAGATTGAGTTTTTTTCAAGACTTATTTGACATGATAAAATTTACAGGTAGTCAAAGCATTGGAGCTGATGTATATTTTTTATATGCAAAATGTGCGAGACTAAAAACATTTTGACGTATCGAATACTTCATCAATATGATCTATTGTAAATAATATGTTAGTGACGAATACCATTTGAACGAATTTCGATTGTCAGGTAATTAAAATCAAAATATTCAATAACAAGCAAAGGATAGAAAAGCAAAAATAATGAGAAAATATATATTAATGATATATTTGAGAACGAATTACAGTCCCACTGAAGTAGAATAAATATAAGATAAAAACAAATTTCCAACGTACAAAAATTTCTTCGAAGACAATTTTTATATGATTGTGTTTGTATTTTTCTTTTTATTGATAAGGAAATGATTACTATAAAATTTAAAATCCTATTCAGAAACTCAAGTGGTCTGAACTGACTTTTCGCTCAACGAAATTAAAAATTATCATCTCGATAAAGATCGATTAGTTTTTCGTACTCAATTATAACGTATTATTCTCAAAGATATCATTGAACTGTCGCATAAAACATGAAACCATCTCATTTCACCCTCATATATGATGAAATATCTTTAGAGCAAAAACTTTGAGATGAGAAACGCGTCAGTGCCGATGAGCGATAATAGAATTGAAATTATGCAATTGGTAGATAGTTCAATTGATCAATTAATAAAACTACATAATTGATTTAAGTCCAATCGATAGTGGATTTCACTTTCAGATTTTTCAAAATTGTTTCGTACGTGTAAAGTTCGTATCGCTTCGAAGGCGATATCATGTGATAAGACAGCTAATATAGAGAGATCTTGACGCGAAAGTGAATGTAAATGAGGTATATGTTCAATGAGATCGAGAGATGAAGTCGATATAAGATTGGTGTCGGTTTCTTCTATATTAAATACGAGTGATGTGTGACATTGATAAAACGTTAAATAATTGGATTAAATAATGACAAATCAATTTGATGGATATATTTATCAAAACAGAAATTGGACGATGTGCATATTGATAGGCAATAAATATTCGGATATGCGAGAATATTTGATGTAAAACGAGGTACCATAAAGATATTTTGCGAATATGGACCATCATAGGCAACAAATCAGCGTTTTTGTTCAAGTCAAAATAGTGAACAAAATGAATCAAGAATATTTTCTTCGGGAAAATGTGGTAATGAACATGGAAGATGCAATCGAAAGTTGAATATAGTCAAATGTGAAACAAGTAATTCCCACTTTTGGCCATCAATAAGATCCAGATAACTTTGTGCAATAAGTTCGAAATAATATAGATTAGATATTTTAGATAAAAATTGTTCTACATGGATCATGGTCTTTTTTTTTACCTTAATTTTAAAAAGATGGGGCAATAATGATATGTTATATGTTCACTTTGGATAATTATCATATGAAAGTTTGACATCATTATTTTGTCTATGCTGTATTACTGGTAATGAACGAAAATATGAACATGTTGTAAAGAAATATGACATATGATAGTCCTCTATAGGTTGAATTCGGAAGCAATTCAACATCGAAAATCAACATTATTTTGGCAAGATTTGACATTTTTTTTTTCGTCAAATTTTTGTCTGGTATTTTCAGCTCAAAACTACAATTCGATGTCAGATTCATGTTCAATATAAAGTAACTCAGTTGATTAGCATATCATACAGAGCTTTGCTTAAGAATTCATAGCAGTGTACAGACTATGATACTATAGTACATTGCTGGAACTATCATTAAATATGACGAATAATGCGATCACAACGTCGCACTACAATTCATACAATAATGATTTTGAAAATGATAAAATACAGTTTCATAGTGTTTTCAAAGGATACAAGACGCACTATGTGACTTTTCATTTTGACTAAAATGGATAATCTACGGCTAATTATTAAGTTCGCTACTGCTTGAAACACCAAAATATTCGAAAAACCACGCATCAAAATATCTTTCACTGTTATGCCTAATTGGTCTGATACAACCTTGTCAAGATTAGTGATATTCATAGATCGAGAAACGTAATATCTACTTTTACAGACGCGGCGCCTCGAATACTATTAAGAAAAGCTATGTTTTCTTTGTTAAGTCTAAGTGAATTCAAAGGAAATATACTTGAAAGAAGTACCTCAGCTATCAAGAAAGTTACTCATCTTACTACACCGCAAATATTTTTATTCACTCTTTATTGCTAAAAATGGGCAATTTCTTCATAGAATGTCTATTTTGAGTCACTGCGTGACACTGTGGAAGTGGGCACCACCATGGTTTCGTTTTCAAAAACTACACGTGATCAAGTGCTACACATTCTGTAGTTTCTCATTCGCACACAAGTAAGACCTTATCGTTGTCTGTTTATCATTCAATTAGAAGCCAGAATCACAACATGAAAAACGAAATATTCATCGAAATCAACTCTGTGCAATTATGAGCGCGAATTCGTATTGATATTGAATCGTTGTATTCGACTATTACCATTATCGGAAACATAGAGATTACCGTATTGGTCGAAAGAAAAGCCTACTGGATAATTTAGTTGATTTGGCTTATTCCCACAACCGTTTCCGCCAACGATAACAGTCCCTTCTCTAGCTCCATTAGACCAACGTACTATTTGATGATTACCACAGTCTGCAACATAGACAGTACCCAATGGATCGACAATAACTCCATAAGGCGATGACAATTGTGAAAGAGTATTTCCTTTGCCTTGGCCACCAGCTACAATTATACCTTCTTGTGCACCCTGCAACCACTTCATCACGCGGTAATTATTCATATCTGATATATAAACTGAATGATCTTGATCAACAAATACATACTGAGGACCATTAAGCTGATTAAGATGAATACCTTTCCCATTTCCACCTGCAACTACTGTTCCTTGAGAGTCTCCTATACGCCATCGTTGAACTTCACTCTTGTTATAGTTCGAGACGTAGAGAAATCTGTTATCATCCATTGCTAAACCTCGACAATCAATATTAGAAATGATTGTTTGTCCTCTAGAAGCGTTTCGACAAGGCCATTGCACTACTCGTTGATTGCCAGAATCACAAATGATGAGATTATCTGTCTCTTTGTCGATTATCACATCTAATGGATTATTTAATTGGTCCATTCGATTTCCTGCTCCATTTCCCCCAGCAACTATTTCCCCATTTGTCAAATCAAATTTCCACTTCATAATGCGATGATTGCACCAATCAGCAATATAAACAACTTGATCTTCATTGTCAACACATATTCCCTGTGGACTGTTGAGTTGATTCAATCTATTTCCTTGTTCACTGTCTCCAGCTACAGTAGTTCCATTTGGACTCCATGTTGCACCAATATCAATGTGAGATGAACGTAAGACAACTAGAATGAAACAGAAACTTATTATAAGAATAAACTTCAAGGAGTATCGATAAAATTCGAATTCGAACATGTCTATTTTTTTAAATTGTCGAATCATGGGAATTTAGCGATCAATACATGGGCAAATTCGTTTAGGTACACAACCTTTTCTGCTTAAGATATGATGCACTCAAGACAATATATTCTAACGAAAAGATTTTTGAAGAAAAAAATACACTTGAAATTTCGAGCTCAAACTTGACTAAGATCCATTAAAACGAAGTTTTTATACCTTTTCGAATATTTATTTCTAAGATATTGATTTATTGTTCAAAAAAAATACATTATTTTTTAAATTCCGGATTTAGAAAACAAGTATTTAAACCAACTAATAATGCACCTTGAAATCAATCTCGGTCAAGTTCGAGCTCAAAATATGAATCTTTCATTTTCCTCGAAACACCATTCTGATATGGCAGATATTACCTTGAAAGTTCGATATCTCAGATCTGAACTTTGTGTCATTCAAATCATATTGGACTTTTTCGTTATTCGTGAGTTTCTACATGATTTTGACGCTTAGAAGATAAAAGCATACTGTTTTCCTAAATTGGGCTTCGAATTCATATCTCTAATAAATCAAACAAATGTAGAAGTTTTTAATGAAAAATTTTATCAATATGGAAATTTTCGATCTTATAGGATCATTTTCAACCAAATACCAAGACCGTAGATGTTACAAA